GGAGTGCTTCATCGTAATCGTAAGAATGGTCACGATATGTCGATACGGTATGGGTCTAAAGTTTTGAGGCGAGGCAACACTTCCAAGTGCAAGGAAACTAAAAGTATTCATAAAATCACTTGGTTATCAAATTGTAGTTATTTTGAAGTTAATTTATTTGTCGTCTAAACTTCTAAAGAGATACATCTATACAATTTTGCGAAGTCGAACTGGGTATGAACCATTTAACCACTGTTGATTTGAACAATTATTCACGTAGTCTGTACCGAAGTAAAAATGAACAATTCCGATTATTGAGAACCACATTGCTGCAAGTTTCATTATCATATCAGATTGCTGGAAGAGCTACGAATTTGGTATCGGTTTTCTTCGATTAATTGTTTTTTTTCTCCAGGTGACAGCTTATTGTCGACAAAGATCGAAAAGATACATCTGTAGTCGGTATTACTATAATAAGCTAAAGGGGTCGAAGCCGCTGCGCGTTTTGGCACAAAAACATTTCATACAGGAAAATTCTCACGTCCTGTAGAATTGTCGGATTACGTTAATTTTTTTTTTTATCTAAAAGTAGAGAACATTTTGTAGGTCGGATTAAAGCCCGATTTGTAAAATTATAATTATAGAATTTGGAAAATGCATTTGAAAAAAAATTGACCAAAAACCGACATATCTACGAATAATAAGAGTTTTTCTGCGAAACCATTTTTGTTCATCAAAATAGTGCTTCGATAATAGTCATCAAAGTCCAGCACTGACTTGTGCATGCTTGTGCGTGCATATTTTTATCAGCGCGTGTAATTATGGCTCAATCACACTAATATCGATTTACAATCTCACACACATGCACGTACCGCACAAGGCCGATACAACATGTGAATTAATTGCCTAAATTGTACTTCTAAATAAATGATCGGGACCGATACCCTTAGTCAATAACAAAATCTAAAATATGTAAAAAGCGTCTGCTTATCAGCTATTATTCTTTATAGTTTATACTTTATAATATTATTTAAACTATATGAAGATATTATAGTACTACCATTGATTATAAATACTATAGATAGCTCACTGCCGGGTAAAATCCCCTGCGCGTTCAGCGGCGTTTGCCACTATAAGCCGCTGTAGTAGGATATGAGTACCGGCGTTTCACGTTTGAATTGCTAGTGCGCTTTATTAGTCCCACCCACCAAAATACGAGCATGCTATAATAATGTGTGATCATTGCAATCATGATTGACATGATTACGCATCGCGCATTCGTGCGGCTTTTTTTACGTACTCCTGTCTTCTTACAATGAATAATCTATTAATATTTATCATTAATTCTTAATTTTCGCATATTTATATTTTTCCAACATCGGAGGCTGATATTAACCCTTAATATGTCACAGAAAAAAAACAATGAACCCTTTATAGAGAACTGCAGGGCGATTCTCTATTTCGTGACTAAATGTTAAAAATATTTAGTCAGTGAATATTAAGTCACTCGAATTTTGGCGTATTTTTATTTTACCGATTCTATACTTTGATAATTTAGACGACTTAATTGCAAACGGCTAAAAGTATGAAAGTGTCTAAAATATCTAATGACTTAATGTGATCACAATAATATTGTATAATATACAGTGGGGCCAACGTTATTTTACCATGTTATCACTAAATGATATGATATATTGATATAATATGATAATAATTTTTGAAAAACATTAATCGTCTTACATAATATTACAAACATTTAACATAATATTACTCCTTTTTGTTCGAGTTAATTTATGATATTTTTACTGTTCAGTGTTCACCATTCCGTGTTTTCGGTTTTATTTGTTTAAATCAAAAAATATAAAATACAATGGCTTCTCAAAAGTAAGTTTAATATATAGACAATAATTTTTGATATTAATAGTTCAGTGTTGAAATGTGAAATATGATTTTATTTATTTTAATCAAAATTGTTATATGTTAACTTTTTAGATTCTAAGCGGAGCGATGAACTTATTGATTTTACAATTTAAAATTTGAATTTTTTTTTAGTTTTTTCTAAAATAATTTTGATTTGGTCAAAATGCTTGAAAATTGAATACAAGATTTCTCATAAGTTGTAATAAAAGCAGTTGAAAAATATTAAATATTCATAGCACGTTTGAAATTTAAAGTACCTATATTATTATATTGTATACTCACATAATGACATTTTCAAATGTATTTTTTTTGGCATAAATTAATTCAACCATCTAATGTTGTATTAATAATATCTAATATGTAAAATATATTCCTTTAATAACAAGGGGTACTGTTAGGTACTCGCCCACGTCGCCCACCTTATTAATAGCTAATGTATTTGTAATAGTGTGGAAAAGAAAAAAAAACGAGTATCCGACCAATTATCTGTGCTTATTCAATACATGGATGAGCACAGGCAATTTGCTGCCGGAAAATTTCAGGACCCACATAATGGAAAACGATTGAATGAGTTGGAGTGGTCAGAATTGACATCTACTTTAAATGAAATTGGACCATCTAAAACATCAGATCAATGGAAGAAGGTACATTTTTATTTTAGTGCATATAAATACTAATTAATAATATATGTATCAAATGTAAAGTATGAAAAAAGTGGTATTAATTTATTATAAGTAATAAGTAAGTATACTTACTTAATAGTAAGTTACCTACTATTGATGCTTTAGTTATTGATAATGTTTATTTATGTATTAATGGGTATCAATTTATGCCCATTGCCCAGTGTTTACTCAAATGTTATTAGTTATAAAGTGTAATGAAAATATGTAGTATTTCTAAAATGTTGTTTACTTAAAAGAATAATTGATTACTATTTGTACTTTTTAGTGCTGGCGTAATGAAAAATGTATTGCCCGAAAAATAAATGCTGCCTGGAAGAACTGTTTAAATAAAACAGGTAATTCCAGCAGCAATTTACCTCCTGAACCAAATGACCGCCAAAGACTCATTCTTTCTATTATTGGGACTGAAACATCTGAGGGAATTGGTGCAGGAGAGATTGGGTTTGATGAAGTAAATGTATAATTATTTCTATTAGATGCTAATTTTATTAAAATTTAACTTAAATCACAACTACTTTTAAAATTTAAATATTCATTATTTTGTTTATAGACTGCTATTGAAGTTGGAGAAATGTTGGTTGATGCCACAAAAGGGTTAGAGGATTTAGAAGTATTTACATTCAATTTTATATCTAATATTTTTTGTATTTAACTTAAAAATATCTATCATTGTTATATTTATATCCATAGGAAATGATTGAGGTATCAAATGTACAAAATTTCAGTCCTACAATAGAAAAGGAAAAGTCAAACCATACATCAGCTGACAAAGGACCTAAAACTGTATCATCTAAAACAGATGTGTATAAAAATTTAGTTAATGAAACTAATACATCATTAAAGGTAAAAGTAAATACTATCTAAATAAGAGCAACCCAAGGTGGCAGGTTTCTGAGCATCAATGTGGTTTTACTACACAGTATGCAGGGCCATAGACTTGGGTGGAACTCACTAACATGTTTAAACTCCCCTTACAACATGAGCAGTATACAACTGTAGTATAAAACTGTAGTACTACAAAGCACCCCTCTTTACACATATTATATCCTTGTCTACGGCACTCAAAGCAGGCATATAGATGGTTGAGTTTGATTGGGGGGGCATCTGTGATCTGTTGTCATGCATAACCTCCACAACTCAACCACTATAATATGTAGTACATAACTTATGTTTCATATTTTTTTCATGAAAAACTCAGGGGTTAAAGTGGGAAAAAATTCCAGAGGGGACTAATGTCTCCATACAGTTTTAAGCATTCCATATATAATTTTATGTATAATGTCTAATGTATAAAATACTAATTTGTTAAAGGGGATGCTTTTTAACCGCCTTCAGAGATAGGGGGACTGAGTCCTCCTGTGTCCCCCCACTTTAACCCCTGGGAAAACTGCATGCTTTTTAATAATATTCTAATTTAATTTTTTTTAAGAATATGACTGATGCAATTAGAGAAAATACAATACAAATGGGCTCTATTGTGAATGCTATAAATAAAATGAATAGCAATTTAGAAAATGTAGCCCAAGCTTTAAATTTGTTATGTGGACTGGCTTCTAATTTGCATGCTAATAAATAATAATAAATATATTAATGATTATTATTATTTTATTTTTTTTGGTTATTGGTTTATGTTTTTTTATATACTTAAGCTTATTATTTTTATTATAACTAACAAAAATATTTTACTTCAATATAATATCAAGATCCATTGCTTTGCTTCATAATTTAAACTTTAACTGCTCTACAATATGTGTTTGTTTTTACTTGTAATTGTTTTCTAAATTCTAATATATATTTTTTTCTTCTTTATAGCTTTATAATGTAACATATGTTTGTTTTTTCTTGTGATTCTTTGCTAAATTATAATATTTATTTTTACTGCTTTATACCTTTATATAAATCTGTTGGCTTTTACTTGTAATGTTTAAGATTATTTGCTAAATAAATAATAATAAATATCTTAATTATTATTATTTTTTTTTTTTTTTGGTTATTGGGTTTATGTTTTTGATATACTTAAGCTTATTATAACTAACAAAAATATTTTACTTCAATATAATCTGCTGAGGGTAGAATTTGGTATGTTACGCACTTGTATGACGGAGACAACACATTCGGGTATCACGTCCAATTAACGATAAATAATAATATATATTTTTTACTGCTTCATAATAAATTAATTTGTTTTTATTTGAGATTCATTGCCAATTAATAATATACATTTGTTTACTGATTTAAAACTATTCAAATACTTTTTAGCACAAATTACAAAACAATTTGTACATCTAGTGATCTAATAACAATTGATTAAAATGAGAGGAAAATTTAAATAAAATGTATATAGTACACACATAAATATATACATTGTGAGAGGATATAGATATGTAATTATATAAATATTTAGATAAAAATATATGATTAAATTTGAAAATATTGTTGAATTATTTGATCCCTCATTCTTCTACCATTAATATTTCCTTGTATGTCTCCTTCAATATTGTTGGGTTCAATTACATTATTATTTAGTGCCATGTTCTCATTTCTGTATTCTAAACTGAAATATGATTAAATAAAACTGACATTATATGGTGCTTGAATATTACGTTATATACCTATACATACTTATTCATAGAAATATTATGTAGTATAGCACAAGTCTTTATGATTGTAGCTGCCTGTATTGGTTGATAGTGAAGAACGCGATCTTTACGCAGACATCTCCATCTACATTTTAATACACCAAAAACCCTTTCAACTGTATTACGAACAAAACAGTGGTTTTGAGTGTAACGGTACTCTGGTGTATTTTCTGGAGCGTTTAACACGGGCGTTAGCATGTATGATTGAGGCGTATATCCTGAATCCCCGAGAAGGTAAAACTGACCAATGTTATTTGCATGTAGCCTATCCATTTCTCGTTTAACTGCACTTGTTCCAAAAATAAATTGGTCGTGGACACTACCAGGGAAATCAGCATACACATTAGTGATACGCAAATTTGCATCACATACCTATTCATTTATTAAATGTTAAAACTATTAATAAACATTAGAGGTTATAGGAATGTATAAAATGTATGTTCTAAATGGAGGAATTATTTAATTTGTTTAATTCGTACCATATTAATAAGTATAAAGTAAGTACCTATATCTAACTACATATTACTATAATTATTATATTTTACCATCTGCACATTTAACGAATAGAAGCCTTTAAAATTTTTGTATGCCTCTTCACGCTCCGTAGGGGTTACAATTGCAATTTGTGTGCAATCGATACACCCTAAAATTCCAGGGTAGCGGCTTAACTGTTCAAATCTTTAATAAATATTTTATCATATTATTTAAAATTTAAGACTCATTTAACGGAAAATCAGACAAAGAATAATTATGTTAAGGGGGGGGGCTCCAATCGGTCGTATTTTAAGGATATTAATATAGGCATGGTTATATAACATGATGACATTAGAATGACTTGAAGCGTGTGCATAGAAAATTAACTACGAACATATATTAGTATATTACATTAATAAATATGGGTGAGTTTATACTTTAATCGTGTTACGATGTATATTACTATATTACGGATAGTAGGTAAGAATATGTTTTCAGAAAAAAAATTGGTAAAGGCGATATTACATAGGTAATAATCAGTAAGTATATACTAGGTATATTTTATTATATAATAAAAAATATAATCAATAATAATAATTACTCATTCGATATTTTTTCCCTCTCAACTCGATTTCGGGGGAAGCGTATTTGGTCTGCGGCAAAGATTCTGACTATTTCAGCAGTTACTTTGGTAATGCACCTACTTACACTCGGCTGACTAACCGGGTACAAAGAATCATTACCTATTCCCCTCTGATATGCACCGGTTGCTAAAAACTGGATCGTGACAAATACCTAAATTCAATAATACATTTAAGATGTAAACTATAGTTTATGACACATATTTAATTACCTATATATATTATAATTTGTAAGTCATAACAAATTAATATAAGTAAGCGTATAGATATAGTAAAGATTTAAACTTACTTGAACTTCAACACTTAAACCATTTTTCCTAATTTTAGTTAGGTTTGGCCTAAGGTGCTCAATTAACATTGAAACGTCGTTTTTGGTAAGCCTATATAGTTTTTTAAAATTAAAGTCACTTAAGTCAAACGGATTACATTTGTCTCTTAAAACAGATTTATGGAGAGTAAAAGCCCTAGTACGCTCATGGTCTTCTATTTCATCTAATAACGCATATGCTATAAACGCCATAATTAAATACTCACTACAAACAAAAAGTAATATTAAATATTATAATGTACGATGTTAAAAATTAATGGTGAAGTTAAAACAGAGTAGGTACTTATACACATCAAATAATAATTATAAAACAATAGCAAAGTCAATAAAATAGGTATATTTTTTATCATAAAATCTATTTAGCAGATAACAATTGTTTAAGTCATGCATAATGCAACATTATTTAACGCCAAATCAAAAGTATACATTCAGTCACTTAATTAAGACGGTCTTAAACCATTTTAAGTCCATAATGATTAGAGAATCGCAAAAATCGTCTATGGCTAAATGCATGACTAAATTAACTGTTTTAGTCACAACAATGACTAAATGTGTGACTAAAACTTTTAGAGAATCGCCCTGCTGGTGTATAATCCACTTACCACCAAAAAGTTGTGACCTTATTAATTAATAGTAAAAGATAACATTTTGTTTATAATAATTATTAATTATAATTAACATATTTGTCAACACATATAAATTGCTCGGTTGCCAATTGATAAAAAATGTATAGATTATTATTATTTACAATCATTCATAGGTATTTGTGTGTACCGTGCCTACTTTAACTTCATAGTATAATAATTATACTATGATCAATTATTGTGAGAGACAAAATATGTTTTGTTTGTCTATTTTCACTCATGAATTGTTGTTTTAGCTCTGTCATTGAATATATTAAGTACTATATCGCATTATTCTATTTATAGTTTATACCTAAATTGTTATTTTAGTGTAAATGGAATATAACTAAATATAGCTATTTATTTAATAACAAAATATATTGAAAATATATTGAATTTTATAAACAAATATGAATATAAAACGATTTTAGATCAGAAAAGTTTCATTTTATGGTCAGGTTATTCTATGATATTTTTAATAGTTTTGATTTTTTGATACCTATCTAAAATCATGGTCGGCTTTTCCAACCATGATATTTGTGTTCATTTATTTATAAAAACCAATAAAATAAAAATTATAAATAAGATTTTATAGAATTTTTTCCGGAAACGATATTTTGTAAAAAATAAAATAAATAAAAATAGTTTAATTTTTTTGTAATTTTAACAGATGTCTAGATTTTTTGTAATTTTTAACATAAAAATATAAGGTCGGATTTTCTTGTAATGTTTTTTTCAAGTTCAAGTTTTCTAGATGTTTTTTGTTTTTTTAACAAAAAAATTTGATAAAAAATCAAAAGTGTGTTTACTACTATCGAATCTATCAGCTTATTATTTATTCCATCATTTATTATATATGCTTTTTAAATTTTTGTGTATAGGAGATAAAACATTTTCAAAAAGTCCAGGTTGGTCACCTTCTCCGAGCAAATTTAAAGTTTTATCACCTGTGAGACGATATGTAACAAATAATGTTGAAAATCCGAATCCTTCCATGATGTTTGGTAGCCCTACTTTGTCATCTCCAGGCACAAAATCTTGGGTTTCAAGGTTAATCGATCTACCAAGTCCACAGAAAAATAAACTAAAATCATATATAAGCACACCAGAAAGTCCTAGAAAAATTAAAATGATAAATAAACAACTCCGTCAAAAAAATATTAATCTACAAAGATTGTTAAAACGAAAAAGATCAATAATAAGTTATTTGAAAAATAAAAATGAAAAATATAAAAATATAAAAAAAGTTCAAATGAAACAAATGTTAGACGAATTTTCTTTTTCTTCGACACCTTCGAAAGCTCTTGTTACAATGCAAGTATTGCATAAAAATCGTAAGCCATGGACTAGAGCTGAAAAAAATGTATCGCTGTCACTGTACTATAAATCGCCATCTACTTACAAGTTACAAGCATATGCGTAGAATCAAAGTAGTTTTACCAGGTGAGAGTACTGTACGCCGCTGGTTAAACTCAATTTCATACTCGACTGGATTCTCTCCTAAATACATGGAACAATTAAAACTCAAGGCTGATTGTATGTCATTTAAAGAAAGAAAATGCGTGATTTTATTGGACAAGATGGCTATAAAAAAATATATCGAATATAATAAAACATTAGACGAAGTTGAAGGTTTTGAAGATCTTGGGTCACTAGGAAAATCAAGAAAACCTGGATCACATGCTCTTGTTGTTATGATTCGTGGATTATATGTAAACTGGAAAATTCCATTAAGCTACTATTTCACAGGGAGTGGTGTAAAAGGTGACAATATGGTATTAATTATTAAAGAATGTGTTCAAAAAATATTAGAACTTGGATTTTTACCATCTGCTATTATTTGTGACCAGGGTACCCAAAATAGGCGAATGTTTTCAATTTTAGGTGGCTCTGAAAATGAACCATTTACCATTAACAATTTGTTGTAGGAAACTATTTTTAATCTATCCACACCTAATTAAAAGCGTCAGAAACAACCTTCTAAGTGGCAACTTTAAATATGAAGAAGAAATTATTTCATTAAGTGACTTGAAAAAAACATACGACATTGATACAACAAGTTCAAAAGTACGGTCCATGATAAAAATCACGCCAGATCATCTCGCGCCAAATGCATTTCAAAAAATGTCATGTAAGTTGGCTATACAATTGTTGAGCAGATCAGTAGCAGCTTCAATTAAAACTTGTGTGGCTACGGGTCAGTTAAAATCTTCAACGGCCATCAACACTGCTAACTTTTTTATAACAGTAAACGACATATTTGATTCTGGAAATAGTAAAAATCTTTTTGATAACAATCCCAATAAACGTCCACTGAGTGTAAAAAATCCACAAGTATTTTCAAATTTAAAAAAATCAATTTCAACATTTAAAAATCTTGTTAAAATTAACCATAAAAATAAAAAAACAGTACTCCACCGTGCTTTTCAGGAATGGTTTGGACTTCAACTGCGTTGCTTAATCTATACGAGTCAGAACTTGTGGAAATGACTGAAAAATATCCAGAAAATGCATTTTTTTTATGACTAATCGGTTAACCCAAGATCCGTTGGAAAATTTATTTTCAATAATAAGACAAAGAAATGGTTATAACAGAAATCCAACCGCTTGTACTTTTAGGTGTTGTTTTGGAAGCATCTGTTCATACAGTTTGATGAAATGTTCAGACAAATGCAACTGTGAAGAAGATGACGATGAATATTTAAATGTTGATGTTTTAAAAGAATGTTTAATTGATCATCCAAACCCAGATTTGATAGAAACTGATCTCGATAAAGAACAAAATAATTTAGTGTCTGATAACTCATCGGAAACCAGTTCATTATCTTTAGACTGTAGCCCTATACCCGCTTCACTGGAAACATGTACTGTTGTTTATTTCTCAGGATATTTAGCAAATAAGTGTCTCGAGAAATTTAAATGCGTTGATTGTTATTCAAATTTGATCACTGAAAAAGATCTTAATGATAAAAACCAATTATTATTAACTTATAAAACGTTTGATAATATATTTACTAATACAAAAGGTTTGAAAATGCCTTCATCCATACTATTGAAAATATCAAATATTTGCCTTGCTATTTTTGAAAGGAAATTTGAAGACATCAAAATTGAAAAAAAAGTAGTCACTCAACTTACAAACGATGCTACCAAGAAAATTGTTAAAAATACCTCAATTTTAAACTCTTCGTGCAAAGATCATTACATGTACATAATAGAGCTACTTTTCAGAACCAAAATGTATAAAGAATGCAAATGGATTAGGTACATCAAAACTTCATAACAAAGAAATTCAACAGGCGGATAAATTAAAGATATTCCGAAACAATTAAAACATGTTTCATACTTAGAAATAGTAGACTTAATGATATTTTTATAATTAAAAAAATCTAAAATCTCATACATTTTCTTTCTGAGTACCTTTTTAATTATTGTACCAATATATTGTACTGTGTCATTACGATTAAAATGTTGTTATCCTAAATTTGTGTTTATTATAAAATAAAAAAAAAGGTAATAAATAATAATATGTTGTGTAACCTCCTCAAATAAAACCCAAAATAAATACAGTCATGTAAAATAATAATATAAATATAAAATGCTGATATACCGACCCTATAACTATAATTTTGTTGAATTCGAGTGTTGCCGCGCGTGGTATGCGCTATGCTGGCGCAAATAATATTGTTAGTGCGAGAGTGCGGGTCGCGGGTCGACGAGCACCGGCGGTCGGCGATTATGACGATCCGGCGGGCGATTAGAAAATATAATATTAATTTTATTGTTGACAAAAATAATACCTTATCGCGCTCTATCGGAAATAATTTCCGCGCAGCGTATTTTGTATTGCAGTGAGCGATCTATAGTATTTATAATCAATGGTACCTAAGGTGGGCATTAACTTGTTAATAAGTTAAAGTTAAGTTAAAGAGTTAATTTTTTTTGTTTTTAACTTATCAACTTATTCAGTTAAAATTTTTACTGTAGTAACTTAACTTTTTATAGCTAATTATCATTGTTATGCAGTTAAGTTAATTTTCTTTTCGAGTCATAGGTACTTAATTATCAACTATAAGCAATACTGATTCGTCGACTTTTTTACGATTTTGATAATTTATTTTCGAATTATGTATTATAATAATTTAATTTCTTACACAGTGTTAAATGTCTTGGTAAATGTTTGTGTATAACAAAATACTATGGTAGTTTATGACTTAAAAATACTGTACCTTCAAAAAAATTAACTTTTTTTTAACTGAGATAAGTTAATTTTATTTTCTATCTTAACTTTAAACTTATCTAGTTAATTTTTTTTTCTTTGTTAACTTTTAACTTAACTGAAGGAAATTTAATTGAATTAACTTAACTTGCCACAGTTAATTATTTTCATTAACTTGCCCACCACTGAATGGTACTACCTATTTACCAAGACAATTTTAATCAATAATTATCATTATCGTTTATCGTCAACGGCGGTAAGAGATATCCAAATACATATTATAGTTTTGATTTAATATATAACTTTGTAGAGAAATATTATTGTTGTGGTGCAACTAACATGACTGATCAGAATTTTGAACAAATCATATGTTTTTAAAATGCAATAAACAATTTTTTTTATTACGTATTTCAGCACTAAAAAGTAAAAGGAATATTATTTTGTATTCAATGATTACTTCGAATACTTCTGAAAAGTATTTTTTACAATACTGCAATTAGCGGGGCACATACACAAAATATTGAGCGTTTATGGCTATCGGCTAAAGAACGAAATAAAAGACATGTATAAAAATAAAAAAGGAAATCCAAAAATAAATTAAAAATAAATAGCTTCAAACACCGAAGAAAATTGCCCGATACATTTTTAAAAGAGGAAAAGTATAGCCAAGTTTTGATAAAATAAACTCTACAACCTACGACTTCATATTTTGTGGAGTGATTTAAAATCAGTTATTTATACCTATTTACTTTTATTTAAGTATATTGTAAAGTAAACAATATTTTATACAAAAATATAAAGTAAACATATTATTTATATAGGTACCTATATTATCATAAAATTAAAAATTATATGTGTTAATAAACTTTTGGCCCGCTAAGAGCATTTGATTTGTTTAGTGGCCCTTGAATAAAAGTGTTTGGAGACCGCCGCTATCATCAATAGTTTAACCGACATCCAACACTAACGTTGCTGTAGGCCAAAACTAAAATAATAAATAATAATTCACCTGGTGGCTCACGGGCCCCAGCGCAACTAGCGGCTAACAATCGCCGAACCGCAGCGCGCTACCTGTTGAATTCAATTGCGTACTACGATAATTTTTAAATTATAATTTTTTGGTTCAAAAAAGGTAATGGTCGAACTTCACTCGTTTAAAAAGCAGGTAGTGTTTGAACTGGACTTGGTCTCAAAAAAGGTAATCCAATAAATATATCATGCATTTGAAGGGGTTAAAGGTTTATAAAACATTCATTTCCCTTCACACTTACAGGCTTCGGACTGACAATGATTTATACATACCAGGTTAGGTAAGGATAATAAAATATAAAATATACATATATTAAATCATAAAATATTATTTTTTTCATTATAATAACTTTTTTTATTTTTATAGCTTATTTTAATAATTTCTCATCAAATTTTACTTTTTTTCATTTTTATTATTTAATTTTTTTTTTCATCATTTTTGTAGTAATAACAAACAGTATTCAAAAACTCTACCCTGGTATTATGCTTTTGAGCATATAAGTTAATGTATTTTTCTATATAATTAATTTTTTTCCGGTACCGTGAAGTTGAAGACCTTATTGTGTCAGTATTCTGCATTAAAATATATTGGTCTATTTGTAATTGTGTCAGTACTTCAATACATACAAATTTATTTTCATGTGTCGATGAAAATGATTTATTGAACTTTGCGTGGAAGGACTCGCATGCATTAGTAGTTCTTTTACTAGAAATCGTATCCGTAGAATATCCTCAAATATGAGGCGGGAAAAGTCCATCGTTAGAAATATAATCATCAACTAAATAGTCATTGAATTCTTGAAGAGCGCGGTATTCTGGGATAGGTGACATAAAATCATCTGTACAACATTCACCAACTTCCACTGAATTTAAAAAACTTAAACCAAATATATTATGCAGCAATTTTTGTTGACAACAATTATCTACGTTATATAAATTACATTTACGAACTAATATATAAAGCTATTAAGTATAGGGGAACGTGGGGCAAAATGGGGACGCTAAGGTTTTATTAGGAATAAACTGTTTATTTCATATGATATTTTTCTAAAACTACAGTCATATGATCTTTATGTTGTCTAATATAATACCAGTATCAGTTAATAACAATAAAATAATTTTTGACTTAGTGAAAATTAAAAAAGCTCATATATGGGGCAAAATGGGGTATTCTTTAAAAAATGAATAACAATTTGACAAAACACACATTTTTTGATTTATTTTTTATTTTATTAAGGCGGCTCTAAACGATTGGATTTTTCATGCATTTAGACCAATAAGCTGGCGAAAAATACACATACTTCTAGTAGTCCAATTTCAATTTTGAATACTTATTTGGATTCGTTAGCCTCTTTTCTATGATCTGTAGGAAAAACTTTTTCATCTTTTTGTCTAGTTAGCACTTAAAAGTGCAAGTTAAATTTGAGAAATCAAGCAGTCATTTGGAACCGTAATATACGTAAATTATCTAAAATATCCAAAATCGGTTTCCTACAAATCATAGAAAAGAGGCTGACGAATTCAAATAATTTTTCAAAATTGAAATTGGACTACTAGAAGTATGTGTATTTTTCGCCAGCTTATTAGCATTTTTCACTGTTGTGAGTGTACAAAAATATTTTTCGAGAGTGATTACGTTGACTTGTGCATGCGCGTACGTGTTCTATTGAACCGTGTGCCCGCAGCCGGGCGATATAAAATCTATTGTTATAGAGTTCGAATTTCTTCGAATTTCACACTAATAATCATTTACGACTAACACATAGATTACGGGCGGCGACGACAAGATTAGAAATTGCCTAAATTGTTCCCCTTAAATAATAGCCACTAAGAGCCGCCTTAATATAAATTTTCTATATTTTGTTAACAAACAATCTTATGAGTTATATGTTTAAGGAAAACAATTATTAAGATATAATATTAGAGTAATATTTAGAAAGTAATAAATAGAAAAAAAATTATGAACAAAATTCACATATAAATATAGAGTCTTCTTCTTCTTCAATGCCAGCACAAAGGTTATGAGCCCATCTCTTACACACTGTGCATTTAATCCAGCCATCAATAGACTTTGAGTATAGTTCATCACAATAAAAGCAAATATCATCATCATTTTCTGAACTTGACATCGGTATTTCAATTTTTTTCTTTTGAATTTTAGCATTTGAATTTTTAGTCATAACCTTTTTCTTTTTTTTTTCTCCTGATGTTTTATTTAGTGATAAAGATCTTTTAACTGAAGTATTAGAAGTGTTGTTGCTGGATAGAGCCAAAAGTTCATTTTTATATGGTGATTCAGTTAGAATGGCTGTCTTTCCCCGTCGCCTAGAATTTCTTTTAGTTGTCTTATTACTTTTTGGAATTGGCATTACATCTTCTGGTGACGAATTTGGAAAAGGTTTTGACCAATGAGAGCAACCTGGTGAAGAAGAATGTGTTGGTGTAAGTGGTATGGATTCGTCTATTGAAACCGCTGTTTCTTTACTATTAGAGACACCTGGTATAGGTGTTGAAGTATGTGGTATATTCTTCTCAATTGAAACATTTTCTTGATTTTCCAAGTCTATTTCTGTTGTAGCACTAGCTAAGAAATCAGATTCATTAAAATTATTAGGATCCAGTGGCCATATGCCAGTGGCTCTAAAGCCGTTTATAGCAGTAGTCATTGTAGCAGCTTTTAAATATGCTTTACCTAGAAGTGATGCAATTTGATAATGCGTTACTACTCGGTGCTCACTGGCATGCTCTCTTAGCCATTTTTTAACTTCATCACAATAGTAAATGCTAAGAGGTTTCATAAAAGCAACGTCTAAAGGCTGAAGTTTATGTGTGCAGTGTGGAGGGAAGCAAAGTAAAATAACACCAGCATCACGTGCTTTATCTATAAGCGCAATGTTTTTTGTGTGGGTAGTATGCCCATCAAGCAAAAGCAATACTCTGTTAGTCTTAGAAGCTCTAGAAAACACAATAAACTTTTCAAACCATTTTAAAAATATATCACTCTGGATCCATCCGCTTGGGTGAACTTCTGCCCATGAACCAGGTGGAGCTCCATCAATTAATTCTGGTTTTGATCTTACACGGGGAAATATTAACATAGGGGGCATAAACGAACCATAAGCACACATACATATTTCCACAGTTACAGTTTGTCCTCTTTCTGCAGAAGTTAAAGCTCCTACTTGTCGACGTCCACGGCAAGCAACAATTTTACTTTGTGTTTTTGGTACACAAGTAATACCGGTTTCATCGACATTGTATATTTGCGAAGCTTGAAGCTTATAAGTATCTATTATACTAGATAGTAATGTATAAAACTTACCCACTACTGTAGGATTGAAGCCTAAAGCTCGAGCAGCTTATGTAGCTTCAGGTTTACGAATTGACAAATCGGGATGTCTTTTCATAAAACTGTACATCCAATCTAAACCAGCTTGATCATTTTCCTTGACAAAAGGATGGTTTATTTGATTTTTTTCTGCAAGTTGATATGCCAAAAGTCGAATTTCTTTTGTAGTGAGACCAAACAAATGAGCTTCCATTGTTTTAATATAGGTTACAAGTTGATTTTCTTGTTCTTCGTTGAAAACGGTTTTAAAAGCACCTAATCCTAGAATATTAAAAGTATTATTTAAGTATTACATTATCAAAAATATCAGAATTGATCTGTCCATAAATTACTTTTTATATTTGCATATTTGTATTAGTAAATTAACATCTAAATGTTGATATTTGTTTAAAATTATAATAGCAAAACTATATTCAACTATATCTTCTTATTTTTCATAATAGATATTTGCTAACCTTTTTTTCCTAAGACTCCAGTATCTTTGTACTTTTTCAGTCTTCTTTCCAAGGTAGATTGTGGCACATTAAAAGCAACTGCCGCTTTTCTAAATCCCATTTCTTTTTTATAACATGCCATAATCGCCTTATCCATGGACTCCTCATCCCAAGACTGACGATCGGTTTTTCTAGTATAATTTCTAACCATTGTATAGAATAATCTACGGTTGAAAAAATCATAGTCATAAACATAAATAGGTAAGCGTAAAATATATTTATTGATACTTGGGGCAAAATGGGGACGTCCCCATTTTGCCCCAAACACGTAAACCTCATTTTGCCCCTTCAAAATACTTACTTTTTCGATTATTTTGGCAGACGTTCTGATGACCATAAAGTATAATTTTTATAAAAATACTATTTTTATGTCTGTAAACTATTTAAATAATTATTAAAGTGAAAAAAGATTCAACTTCAATCCAAAAAAAAATTCAAAACAAAAAATATTGTTTTTATATCACTGTTATCACGGTATCAAATTTTTCATGTTTTTATCAATAACTCGTATAATAATGCAAATTAAATAATTAAACTTTAACCACGTTTTCTCGATCGGGGAACCATTCTAAACAGCTGTTTTAAAAACTGACATTTTCATTATTTCCTTAAAATTTAACCATGTCCCCATTTTGCCCCACGTTCCCCTATACATCGTAGCGTTCGTATTGTTATGTGCAGACCTTCAGGAATCCAAAAGATGATGCTTTTGAAATAAACAGTGGACAATTTAAAATAGTAATCGAATGCAGTTTTATTATAATAGTAAATATGCAATATATTGTCGTGTATAAACTCGTAGTAGCGTGTATAATCTAGTCGTAGCTGTGTGTAATGGCTTAGCAGCTCTGGTACATCTGATCGTGCTGTTCTCCTGGCCTGTATATATATGATGTCGGCTCCTTTGAATTGATCGGCGCGTGGACCTAGGTGTCCTTGAGGTAGTTGTAGCGAATTTAAAAGCGGCTTATTCTCGCAGAGAAACTACTTTTACAACATCTACGACACCACATTTTATGGAGAGTGGTTCTTGTCGCGGATTACAATTATGTGCTTATACATGAAAGGATTATTACTCGTGTAATAAATGCTTAATCCTTTACAGTATACATACGGTTCATGATATGTAAGATAGAACTTAAAATAATTTTTCTCCTTCGTATATAGTATTTCCTAGTACCAAATGAATGAAATTTAATAAAATAATATAAAATATAATAAATAATCAAAAATTCAAATTACATAATCACAATACTGCTGTATATTACTACCACGGACTAAGATATACAGGACTGGACACGACAAGGTTGGAGGGTGTGGGGGGGTTGACTACGAAATGTTTTACAACAGGCAGTGTTCGGGGGGATATTTTCCTTTTAGCATTACTAGCGCCGTCCTAGTGGATACTTATGGAACTAGAACACATCATACAAATTTCTAGTTCCATAAGTATCCACTAAGACGGCGCTAGTAATGCTAAAAGGAAAATATCCCCCCGAACTCCGCCTGTTGTAAAACATTTCGTAACCACAATATTCATCTCGTGTCCAGTCCTGTATATCTTAGTCCGTGATTACTACATTATCATGAATCGTTTTTTTAACTGATAAGATGATTGGGATGACACGGCCACGGCGGTGTGATGCTGTCCGCGGTTAGCCGGTCGCTGTGAGTGTGTGTGTGGATTAGGGTGACACCGATGGTAGGAAAAAAAGTCTCCGGAAAAAAAGTCACAAAGAAAAAAAGGTGGGCAAGTGGGTGTCGCTCTGCTGTACAGTAGGTTACAAGTGGGTCACTGTATAATGGATGGTATTAAATTTGAATTCAACGATATAATATCATTGTATAAGAAAAACGATTCTGAGCGGAGACAGTATGTCAGTCTAGGTATAAGACATATTATATACATTATACATATCTATGGTACTAAACCAAAATTTGACCTATAATAGGTAGGTACCTATAATAAATTCCAAAATTAATCATATCAAAATATCCATTAGGTACTTATAACGCGTTATACATCAACAAAAACCGTGATACTATCATAGATATATAATAGTACACTTTAGAAGTTTCAAGTACCCACGAATAATACCTATTATTCAATCACAACAAAATAACTAAAATAGTTATTCTAGGTTTTTTAATATGTAATTTCGTCCAAATTTGAAATTAAAATGTCTGTAAAAAATAAGTGTGTTTATATATTTTTTAGATTTTTTGGTTACAGTATGAATTATTTAAGAGAATCTTTGTTTTAAATTTTCAACTCTTAGTTATAAAAACTGAACATTTTATAATTTTTTAATTCCAACGATTGATTATTTTCGAGATTTTGATGAATTTTGTCAAAATTCCAACTTTAAATGCTTATAAAAAAAATTGTGCCTATGTATTTTTAAAATTTTTCAACTGATATTGTAACAATATATAAGAAAGCTTGTATTCAATTTTCAGACTTTTTGGCCCACCAAATAAAATTTTATTGACAATTATAAAAAAAAAAACTAAAAAAATTGAAAACTGAAAATGTCCCTAAACAGCTCAAAAAGAGTCAAAATATTTTCAAAATTGTATGATGTATAGAAAATGCTAATTTAAACATTCAGTGAAATTTTCATGTATCTACAGTTGTTCGTTTTTGAATTACAACAAAATTAGGAAATCGCTACATGAGAAATCGAGTGAATATCCAATGTTGTAAAAATTTTAATTTCAAACGCTCATAAAAATTTAACTTGACTGTCCGGTAGAGATTTTTTTATTGATAAAGGTAGATAATCTTATAAGGAATCTTGTGTTTCATTTTCAAATCTTAGATTTAAAAAGAAAAATTTTTACGAATTCTTAACTCAAAATAATTTGCTAATTTTCGTGATTTTTCCATATTTTGTCAATTTTTGAACTTTAAATGCTTATAAAAAAAATTGTGACTAAGGATTTTTAATATTTTTCATCTGCCTTTGAAACAACATATTAGGAGCCTTCTATTAAATTTTCAAGCTTTCGCAACCAATAAATACAATTTTATTGATATTTTTAGAAAAAAAACTAAAAAAAAATGGAAAATGAAAATGTCCCTAAACAGTTCAAAATAAATCAAAATATTTTGAAAATGTTATCGTGTATAGAAAATGCAAATATAAACAACCAGTGAAAATTTCATGTATATACGTTCATTTGTTTTAGAGTCACACCAATAACCAAAATCGATTTTTTGGAAAACCAATTTTGCGTAAAAATTCCCGTTTTTCCTTAATTTTTATGTTGTTTTTCCCGGCGCTTGTGAAAACTACTGGGAAATTTATACTTTTGACCCCCCAAAGTACCAACTAGATTCACTTTCCTATCAGAAAAGCTACTGACGAAGAAAATCCAAGCACTTTTACTGTCCTAAAACGTGATGACAGACACAAAAATATAAATAAAAATATAAAAATATAAATAAAAATATAAAAACATACATCATTGTAAAACCAATACATTCATCGCTCCGCTCAGAATCTAAAAGTCTCGACGGAAAAAAAGTCTCAGGCAAAAAAAGTTACATTTTTATAAAAAATATGTCATTGAATCGTTGTCGTATTTAAAAAATAATATATATAATAAATATACGTCATATATCACACTAAGTTAGAAAAAAATAATTACATAATTATAAAAAAATCTATAGACATATAAATTATTACCGTTGTATCTTAATATTTTGACCTATAGCTTTTAAAAAATCTTGGAGATCAATTTTATTTTCCCCAAAACGAGAGCATAAAGCAATTAATCTTCTTTCCATTTTTTTTTTCTTCTTAATGAGTGCTCGCCCAGTTCATTTAAAGCTAATTTTGCGCGGTCTGCAGCTATCTCATATCTTATTTTAGTTATAAGTTTCCAAATTGTTGGATGATTTTGTCCTACCATATGTGAAAATCGAGAGTTCCAACTTTCGCATAAATTATTAGTTCTGTGCCCGTCAGACAATGTTGTCAAATTAACATTCCAAGTTGTAGGAGGAAATAGTGGCGGGGTTCGACGATATTGTACTCTTATATTATTTTTACAAGATCTACCTGGGCGAAATTTGCCATTTACATAAGTATGGTCGAAATATAAAAATAAATCTTCAGCTCCAAACGGGACAATATTTTTTAAGTATGACATACCGCCTTCAACAAACTCTAGTGGGAGAAATGCTAACCCGTCTATCATACAACAGAACAGATTGAACTCGTTGTCACTGCGATACCGATTTTCAAGACCCAGCTCTTGTATTTTTCGGTGGGTGCTTTGAGTAAGGTGATAAAAACAACCACGGATATTTATATGTTCACCTAAGATATTTTTTGCAGCTTTAATTACAGCAATTTCAAAATCCATGTTCAAAAACGTTGGGTCTGCGTATAAATCTCGATATTTACAAATGTTCATTATTATAGAAAACATACTTTCGTTTTCGTAAGACGTTCTGGTTTTATTCTGCATTAAAATTAATAAAGCAGAAACATACACACCATTATTTTATATTCGTACCACGTACAGCTGTAGAAATTGTTTTGGAGCTAATTTGAAATTGCCATCTAAGAACCAAGTATCAGCGTCAACTAGTAATTATAATTCGTTATCTGTACCAAAAACTAAAATTCTTTCTTCTGCGTCAGTACCATTGTCGTGTAATAACAAATTTTCATTTTGAAACAAAGCCCATTCACCTTAATCAATAAAAAAATTATTATAGTATAACTAACACACGGTAATTATACTAAGTTATTTGATTAATAGATTGTATAACTTACCTTCAACTTTAAGGGTTTTCAAATCATCACAGTTGCCGTTATTTGGATGATTTTCACTCCTTTGATTTCTTAAAGTTCGTTTTATTGAATTTTCACATGGTAATTGATATAATACCTCTTTCGGCTGATTTATGACTGTTTCAGAAAAAATTTGCCCTGGTAATTTTGATGTAAGTTTTGCTTGTTGTTTCTTGTTGCATTTAATTCTTTCAGTGATCACCAAATTTTCATTGGGCAAATGACTATGGTCGCGATTTAATTTTGACCATACGTTGGGACCAACTAAATCCGAACTGGTAGTGAAATTTGCAAAACATTTCAACGATGATGCTTTTGAACACTTCCACTGTACATGGTTCTGGCAGGTTTTTTTCTTAGTGTATAAAAAACCTTCAAATGCAATTTTTATGTTGCCTTTATTGGACTTTAAAATTTGTATTTCCATTTTTGAATAATTAAAACTGTGTAAACTGTCTTGACGTACTTTTACTGCGACTGTAACATCTACTGCACTATACTATATCAGTCACTAGATGTCAACGAATAATAACGTTGAACACAATGTCACAATGTAATAAAGTTAATAGTTATAAGATAATTTTATTATATCACGCTCTTACCCCTATAATCTGGTATATATATATACTATACATGTATATATGTCTAATCTTCTGTCGATTTCCGATGCCATAGGAAAAAACCAAAAATTATCAGATATAGCTGGTATATACTATATAGTATTAAACGTTGTCATTTTATTTACGGTTGCCCACACAAAACTAACGTATACCTAATGTGGTATATTAGATATTATGATATGTGAATAGTAGATTTTATCGTTTTATCAACTTAATTTTCACACAATTTTCCACATTTTATACAGAGTGATTATATAAGTTTTATGTAAAATATTCCAAATTGTATATTTTATTAGTTTTATAAACTTTTTTTTACTAGAGACTTTTTTTCCCCCTAGACTTTTTTTCCGGGACCTTTTTTCCGTTCCCCGGTGACACCAAAGGAGCAAATCGCAGGGGTGCTAAGGGCGCTTAGCACCCTGGATTTCAATGCTAGCACCCCGAATCCCGTGATTATAACTTATAGTACTACTACCTTAATATTTCCATAATACCTAATTAAATTTATTAAAAATTCAAAAACAGATTTATTTAATTATTTGTATTAATAAATTAATAATATAATATATCAAGTTTACATCTGGATATATTCAACTGCTATGACATAATATAATATCATAATTTATTGTTGTTGATATTATTATGATATAATAAGGAACCGGGAAATAGTTGTTAAACATATTGAACATTTATAACATAACTAGCTGATCCCGTGCACTTCGTTGCCCATTAAAAATGCCAACTCTATATGAATAATAGGTATATGTTTTTTTTATAATATAACTGTTACCATAACAACAATTTTAAACCAATGGTCACCAATAATTATTATTATTTTAGCTTTGAAACCAACGGCAACCATTTATAAACAAAAATTTCCATCGGAAATCTCAAAATCTTTGTTTGAGCACCTGATCCCGGGGTTGGTCATCTCCCTTTTTAAATTAACATATCTTCTGCACAGATGTCTAATCTATCTATGTATATATATATATATATATATCTATCTGATCCCGTGCACATCATTTCCCGTTAAAATTGCCAACTTTATATGAATAATATGTTTTACATATCACCATTCACCATGGCAACCATTTATATACAAAACATTCCATCAGAACATTCAAAATAATATATATACATATATATGGTTGCCACGGTAATATGGACACACACACACACACTGCCATACATTCATTTTTATATATATAGAGAGATAGATATAAATAAATTATAAGATTCGGAGTATCTAGTGTCTACAATCAATGCAGACCGAAGTCGACGACGACTCGTTTAAATATTTTAATTATTTTTTAATCCCTTATAAATATATTAAGTACATTTATATAATAAAATGGTTCTATGTTAAAGGATTTATTTTCAATAAACAAGGAGTGTTTAAAGTCGGAAATGACAGTTGCTAAAAACTGTGTGATTCAACTTACTGACAAATTTGGGTTAAAAGAATTAAAACAGGTAATCAGTGAAACTGTTTATACAAATCCAAGTTACTTCAAGTTGCCTTAGTTTTACCGATTTCATCTGCTTCATGTGAAAGGAGCTTTTCGGACTATGCGAAGAATAAAATCTTGGACACGTACTACAATGGGTCAGGAAAGACTATCGGACTTATCAGTTATTCATATTGAAAGGGATATAGTCATTGATAATGAGATTATTTTAAATAAGTATGCTGAAAATAAGCGTACATTGTCATTAAATTTGTAATAAATAAAATAAATTTGTTTTGCATAAAATGTTCAGATAATATATTTGTGTGATTACTGATTTGTATTTTGTTAATATATATGGTGTGGTACTGTTGGGGTGTGTGAGGGGCAAAGCCCCTCACGGGTCGGTTTCCTCCAAAAAATTGTTGGTGCTTAAGCCCCCCTGATATTTTTAGGTGATTTGCGCCGGGTGACGTGACACTTGAGATATTCAAATAAATAATAATACAAACGTGATTATTCACAACGATAATGTACTTATGTACCAGATTATATTATATTTTACGTTCGAACGAAACGTGTGTGGTGTCGTATCGTATTAGTCAAGTTATATATAGTATTATAGTCATTCCGCTTTTAAATAGTTGCTTTGGGAATTTTTTTTCCGTGGATTTTTATTCCAGGATTCCACTATTTGCCATTTAGTTATTGCGACTATCAAATTTGAACACTGTATTTCTATCATGGTCTATGGTTAACTTCTATATATTTTGTATATTATAATTTATAAGTATATTTAACGATTGAGAATAATTTAATATTTTGTTTATTGGAGTCGTTGAATTGGAAGGCGGGTTTTCGACAAGTTTATAACACAACTTATTGTGTAGACCAGTGGCGGTTTTGGCATATAATTTTACATGAGGCGGAAAAATATTAAATAGTAAATAAACTATTACTCTAACACAGGAACAAAATATGTTAATACTATACTGTATAATACTGTAACTGAGTGTAACTACGTCATGGACAGACGAATATTTCACGACCAAAATATAACAGACGTGCGACACCGCGACGGCCGTCTGGCAAGCGCAGCCCCCCACCTAGCAAGTAGCACGGATGCATACAATTAATGTACCGGCGGTCCCGGCGGCGGCGGCCAATGTTTATAATATCGTTGAGCAGTTGATATTAGTCGCCTCTGGCGGCGGTCTGCGCATGCGCAATTTACACTATTTTACGAGCTTATATGTGTGTGCGTAGACGCACCTCGCATGCACTAACTTAGGCGACGGCGGCTACCGCCTCTCGCCTCTGTCGATCTTAGCGCTTTAGCGCTGGCGGTGGCGGCGGCGCCGTGCCGGGCCGGACGCAATATTAAATGGAAACTATTAATATTATAATAGCTCGTAAGTTACGTTGAAGCGACACGCAGCCATTCTTGCGTTCGCAGTTCGCACAAGTTCTGTACAAAAAAATAATATTCAATATTGTTGTTATATATATATAAATATAAATATATATCTAAAATAAATAAATTAATTAATTAAAATTAAAAATTAAATTATACGATTAAAATTTAAAATTTAAAAAAAGTACAAAATACCAATATAAATAACCAAATATTTTTTATTTTCGTAAAAATTACAAGTGAGGCGGTGCCTCACTTGCCTCACCCCCAAAACCGCCACTGGTATAGACCAACCAATAGGTAAACACGATATTAGTTCAGCATTTTCTCAAATTATGAACATTGATTTTATTTATATATTTTATACATAAAATTGTAGATTAATTAAAATAATACATTGTGTATTATTCCAGAATGTAATATGAATTATACTCAAAAATACAATGGCAGATATAAATACGGCTTTCTTTTTGCATTTACGTAGTCGAGAACGAGAAAAATATTCGGAATTTGTTTCTTGTTGAGGACATGCAATTGTTAACGTGAGCATTACTTTCCCACTTAATAAAATTATATTCAGACAAGTATTTATTTGTTTAAATAAATTACATTATTCTGTATTCAGCTTATTGTGTATTTATGGTCTACAGCTAAAATTGCAGAATAGATGCTGATGTAGATATATAACATTAATATTGACTAACCTAAAAGTACTATTGTTTTTATTTTACCTAGGTATTTAATAATGCAAATATGCGGAAGCCATAAACAAAATAAATTTTAAATTTTAAACAATAACGTGGCAATAAAATTAATTAACTAATTAAAGTATTTTAAACTAATTTCTATATTACTTAGCTATGTTTTTATTGATTAATAAAAAATATGCAAACTCCTAGAAGTCCCTAGCTCTAAATGTATTATGTTTATTCCTAAACTTTTAATACTCACTTTTTTCTGTACTATGATTTACGTAATTAATTAAAACAAAATAGTAAATAATTTAATAATTTATACAACAATTATAATATTATACAGCCAACTATAAACTACAATAGAACGTGGTCGGGTTGTCTTTTTGTTGTAGTACTGTCTAGACTTCATTATTTTTAAATGTATTATACATCAACGTGTCAGACTATATTTTTAGATATTTATCTTTCACCAACATTGGGGTGATGAGTTAGAAATGTTGCTTATTATATAGACTAATCCGGTACAAATGGTTCGAATCATTTATACAATAAACGACCGAAAATTCCCAACTCAATAATAATTTCCTATCTCCACCATAGGGTCCCAGACTAGTTCAATCAGTTGTAAATCTATTATCTAGTCTGTTGTGGATTAGAATATAATATAAACTTGGTATATAGATACTATATTATAAACCGAACGTGGATCAAATCTTCATAAAACCGGTTGATTGAAAAGAAAAGAGATTGACCTAATGATAAGAACGATTTTCGATACATGACCGAAACGACCGAAATGACCGAATCACTCGACTGATCCGATTCAAATTTCAAATGATACGAATCACTTGAACGACCAACAATTCCCACCTCTGGCGGCCGGTAGTCGTCCAGCCCGACATGCCTTCCGTTCGATCTTGTGCCTTTTGGCATGGTGGGGGAGTCGACAGTGTCGCGCCGTCGCGGTCGTAGCCCGCGGTGGCCGGTGGCGGTTAGTACCGGTAGCCGGTAGGTACTATACTCCGGCCCACGAGAGAGTATTACCGTTTTGCGCATGCAGACTGACGGCGGAGACCGTTCCGAGGCCCCATTTCCCCCACTATTTCCGCGACCGCTATACACCGTATAGCGTTGAGCGCTGCCGACCGGTACCGAACAGTTGTCGGCACATGCCGAGTAGTGGGGAATGCGCGGAATCGGACGAGTTTTCGTCGGGCGACGGTAATACTCTCTCGTGGGCCGGAGTATATGTACTTTGTAGTACTTTGTACTGGTCGACGTTGCATATCGTATCAATATTAATTATTATAGTCATATCCTCATATCTAATCTTATCACTATTTACTGGAGAAACAGTATATTGAATTTACTTATACTAAGAATAGTACTTTTACACGTATACCGTAAACATATGATGAATACCGGTCGTCTGCTCAATCTTTTACGCACGCAATTCGGGCCTGTTCCGAAAAATACTCGCAGTCAACTCCACTCTGTTACAAAAAAACTGCGCACGCAATTCGGTGACTAAAAGTGCTCATTATTCACGCACGCAATTCGGATGCAGCCCAAACATATTAGATCTTTCATACTCATTCGCCATTGTTGTAATATTTAATAAAAGATTAACTAAGCAGTTATAAAACAAAAGAACAATTATAAATTAACAAAATTAAAAGGTAATCGACAATCGTAATACAAGTACCCAGACACAAGAATACAAGATGACTAATAGTAATCAATAATCATAGTATTCTGCAGTTGATTTGGGTGAAATATATTTAATATATGTTGCTCGAAATTAACAAATTATTCGACTAAATTTTGTCGAATGCGATATAGCAGTAGTTTTAATAGTCTATTTGATAAATCATTATACTTTTTTTTTTTATTCGGCACATATCCAGAAAGTAATTGTTCTGATATCATCTTAGTTAAGCTTTCTTCTTTTTTTCAGGCAGTCTTCACCTCTGAAAAAGAAACTAGAAACTTTCATTTTATTTATGGTTCTTTTTGCTTCGATTTTTGCCCTATTTTGTACATGAGTATGATCGGTGGATTTTGTGACGTAATCTATTAAGAAAACTTATGAAATTAATAAACTGATATGATACCTAAAATATATAGACTAATCTATCATTTTACCTTGAATTTGTATGAGCTCGACCAGTGCACTTTTTTTTTCATTGCTTTTCCAAATTATTTTATCTTCAACCGTCCTCTCTTGTTTGTGAATAAAACCATTATAAATTAAAAGATCTCTACTCTGTTGATTTTTCATAAGCTCTAAAGACATTATTTAATAGGTATGGCGTACTATTCGTTACGACTTCACGAATACGACGCAGCGCGCTATAGTACAATGCTATGCAAGCACTGCCAGAAAATCATATTATATAATAAAATAAACTATAAAGATACCGAAAACTCATCTAACAGGTAAGGCTATAAATGTAGAAGTCATAAGTGGATAACCTATACATATTATATATATTATATTATATATTATTGTACTTAGCCAGATAATTATCGGTAATATTGATAAGCGACGAATTGACGCGCGACCATGATAAAGAAAACCATTAATATATACAAGACAAAGGAGCTTAAGTTTTTCTCGCATCCTTATATATTTTGGGTTTTTTCGAGGTGGATTCAAAGTCCCCAACTCTCTTTGTGCAATTTTCGTTTCGTCTCCATGCGCATTTTTTTTTATTAGAGTCCAAATACTTGGATGATTATGTGTTACCTAGAAATAATGTAGATTACTTTCGCGGGCCAGATATTAAATGATGGCGGTCCGGAAATTTTAAGCTATTTGACTTCACACATTGCCATGATATTATTTCTTTTCCTTTATATTTTATAACGTACATATAGCCATTTAAACATGCCTTTAATCCCCCTTTATTTGAATTAATTAATTCCATATTACAAAATAAATTAAATGAAATATTAACTATATGACTTAACACTAACACACTAAATATTATAAAAGCCACACTGACGCACTGCACAAAATAATCCTACAATAGTCACCGGTAAACTGCAATAATAACTATCAATACTTCGCTTCTACAGCGATGACAGCAGATAATTGTAGATAAAATTGTCGTCTTGGTCTAATTTATTATGTCCACTACGATATAGATTACAGATATGATATACGTAATTGCAATGTAACACCGATAACTAAAGCCTCGTTATTATAATATAGATTATAGATATTATATTATACAACGTAAAATATTATTTTTACTATTATTATCTTATTACTATATTACAAAGTATTATCAATGTTAAATGTGATTTAAAAATGGAACAATATCTAAATAAGGATCCATAAGTCTTAAAACTAAACTGTCTATTTTAGAAGTTTGACCAATAACTAATACATAACTATACATAACTCATAGAACTTTATTCCATATCTGGCTTTTTTATTTTTTATATATTGCCTTAAACTAAGTCTGCCTCGATGCAAGAGAAAGTTGTTCGTTTGGAAAAAAAGCATTTTGAAAATGTTTGATAAGTTTATCAAACAATGGATTTATTTTTTTCATTGGTCCATCTAATATGACGTCTTCACCAATATACTCTACACTGAAGCAGTTTAGTAGTTGTTCAAATCTCCTTCCAGACATGACATGCTTTGCAATAGGATGGCAATACAAAGGATTATTTGAAAAAAAATCTCGAACTGAGGGAAACTTTACAGTTCCTAATAAAAGACATAAGCCAAAAAACTGTTTCATTTCCTCAATGTTCGTATTATTGAAATTAGATTTACGAGCATTTTTAGAATGAGGTCGATTTTTGTTTTTGCTATTTTCACCATAGTTATTTGTCGACTGGACAATGATATCATATATTTCTTTGGTTCAAAGTGTTTCGAAAATTTCAACAGGATTATTACGAGCTGTTTCTTGTACATTAATTTTAACCCCTGAACGAGAAGCATCAAAAGAAAAATCAGGTATATTTTCTAAAATGTCACACCACGAGTCTGTGTCAGATACTGGAAGTTAACTCAACTGAATTATCGTCGTCTGACAAATTGAACATTTGGGGCTGTTTAGGTTGCTGATTAGGTGGACAAAAGTTCGGGTCATTATCTGAATCGTCAAATATAGAAAAATCTGAATTGTAGTCACTTTCACTTACCTCAAGTAGGTGTTGTGCTCTTCGTCCTTCTTCCGAATCCATTACAAAACTGAATTACAAAACCAATTACAAAACTGCAGAGACTACGTCGTCACGAACGGTAAATGTTTACTTTAATTCAACTTGCTCTTTTATATGGTACCATTGAAAAAAACACTGCTATAGCAGTAGTGTCACTATTCGGTCGGTTTTTACAGTACTGCTATAGCAGTACTTTTTCGTGACTGTCCGTCAATGTGTTAAGCTTATGTCATGTGATTTACTTAATGAACTTTTGTATTTTATTTTTGTTGTTTGTTTTTAACGTTTTATGATTATGTAATAAAGAATCATTAAGTTTATTCATTCGAATAAATGTTTTTGTACGAATCAAACATTGTATCACTTCTGATGGTAAATTTGTTATTTTTTTTTTTAGTTTGGTTGATAAGTCTTTAATGCTATTTGGTTTATTTGTCAACACATCACCGTGGAGTTCTTTAAACAATTGTTCCAATTCATGGGCAGCATTTATTAATGTTGGTGATGGAATTCTAAGATTTCCTTTTGAGATGTGTTGAATCCATGATGTCTCCTGTATAATATTGAGGTCTTCTCCAGACTTCAGATATGGATATATCGATATGCTAAATATCCAGCAACGTATTCAAAGCATTCTTTTTCTATAACTCCAAATGGTGCTCCATTATCTATCTAAATAAATATAAATTTCATTTTTTTTTCACAAAATTTTAGAGGATGTGTATTCTATAACCTAATTTATATTTTATGTATTTACAGGCTACTAGACGGAAAAAATATTTTATTTAACTTACTATATAAGTGACAAGTTAATTTAATATTGGTGAAAATTGAGATCAAAACAAAGTATCAAATGAATCTGGGTAATTTGATTTGAATCTATATATTTTTAATTGTTTTATTTTAATTTTATTATACAAACTTACATTCTTTTCAAAGAGATCCAGTTTATTCATATCCACATTTTTAACTGTAGCTGAACCTTCAATACTCATTATATTTGCCAGTTCTTCATTTTGTGAATACTCTATTGCCTAAACATTAAACTATAAAGACACTCTTCACCTAAAATTAAGCTAGTTTCCAAGCCTTCTTCTGTATTTCTATTATACTGCAGTTGAATGTTTACCCAAAATTTACCACCTGAGACTAAAATATAAAATTTGAACAATAATTATGTATGAGGTACATATTGATGCGGACCTTTGGGGTGCCGCGTGGAGTGGTAACTGAAGGTGGCCAAAAAAAAAAGCAGGTTCAACAAAAAACAAAAAAAAAGAACACAACAAACGACGCACTGGTGCAGTTTAATTTTATTATTTGAGGTGTAAAAATCTTACAATAAATTGCGAAACGGTATCGGTGTTAACTATAGTAGTTATTGCTTTTCTCGCGAGGACGTGTGTGGGGGTCTGTGCGACTGTCCGGGTGGCTGAGAAAAAAACAAGTGAAGTCTTGACAATCCGGTTCACCGAACGGCCGGCCGACCGCGACGGTTCCTGGCGCGGGTGTCGCGCGCCGGCGTCGTCTGTCGTCGATTGGCGGTTTGATTGAGAAGCACAGCTTTCCGCATAAAAGGTTATTTGGATTCAAACAGCCATTACGCGGGACCGCGTCAATATTATGTAGAAATAATATTTAAAAAAATGTAACATACGCATATTTAAATTGCAACGGTGTAATTTTATTCATTGCTGCTCCACAAATTCCTTTCAGAAAGCTATACATGTTTTCAATTACATCCTGATTTAATTTCCGAGTCATTATAAAGGAAATATTATATTTGCATTTTAATTCATTCAGCAAGGCTTTTAATGATTTGTTAGTAATTATTACACCTAAAAAAAAAAAGTAGGTCATCGCTGGTCAGTCCACAGACATGTAGTATTACAGTATTCAATTTGAATGAAAAGATTGCATTCGATAAAAAACGATTCTGAGTGGACCAAAGAAAATGTATGAAAAATGACCTCTCTAAAGTACCATCTTGATACTATATATGGAAATCTAAGAACTTCTGGTAGAAACTTTGTTTACAAGATAAAAAAAATATACAACATTATAAAACCACTAGCTTTCTTGCTCCTCTCAGAATCTAAAACGACAGTTTTGATAGTTCTGGGAGTAATTTTGACTTATTAATAATTATTTGTGAATCTATACTCTTTTTTAAATGAGATCAGTACAAGATGGCCAACTTGTACTCAGTTTCGTTCCAAAGCTTTGGCCTCCAGATTGACTGAAGCCAATTTACTTTGCCCGGTACTGATCTCATTTTTAATAAATTATACCTTTCTGGAAGGTTAATAAACTTTTTTTGCCATGTATTCTCATTTCAGTTATAAAAGAAGTTATTCTGTCCAATAATTCATCTTGTATCTCTAAAGATAACCCATAACTGGATGCATTTTTTGTTAGTATTCAACAAGTCAAATCAGTCGTTGAATAGCTGGATCACTTCTGAAGCCTATAAATAATTACATAATATACTTGTTTTTATTTGTTGACGGCATAGGTAAATAATTTTACTTATGCATAATTAATGTTATATTTCTTATGTTTATAGTAGAAAATTATTTAGTTGACGATTTTGTTTTTACCTCTTTCCAGTTGTAATCAGTGATTATATTTTTATTTCCACAGAAACTTATAGCTTTGGCAACACTATTTGAAAATAATTGCACTGCCAATTTGACGCTTATCATAGATACACCTTCTACCATAATATGACGTTCAGATAGTTTATATGCAAGTCTGTAGTCATTATTATCATTGACTTTCAGCAATTCCTTTATAATATTTACACTAATGTATTTACCGTATATTCAAGTTTCGCCATAATCCAATTTTGGATGGACCCATATCACCAACAACTGCCACAACATTATATCCAATATTATGTAATTTGGCTATGATGTCATTTAATAATTCTACCGTCATCGGAGTATCAAAATTATAAAATAACGGTTGCTTCCATGGTGATATTAGTCCTGTTTAAAAAAGTTACTCTAGTATAGGGTGACCATAAAAATAAAATAAAAATACGGGACACTTTAGTTACTAAACTAAAAAAAAAAGGAAATTCTAATTTTAACTAAACATATTAATATAAAAAAAAAACAAATTAAATGAATGCTGTATAATAGTTTTTAAATACAAATAAAATATTAATAAGTATAATATGTACACTAAAGTCCAAAAAAAAATTATTTTGATGACGATGGCACGTAAATTTCTTCTTTTGATGTTTTTGTATACTTTTGTGCTGAACCGATTTCATCAAGTAACCTAGTTTCTTTTAATAGAATATTATAAAACTCATTACAAGATAAGTTTTTAAAGTGTGTTTTTACGATTATAATTGATTTGATAGTCTCAACCAAAAATCGATTTTTTTTATCTGTCCACAACAAATTAATGGTTGAAAAAATCGGTTCTACTGCAGTATTTGTACCAGGAATTGCCAAAGAATATTCTACTATTTTTGATATGTTAGTTGAATCAATGTTATGAGCTTTATCTAGTGTATTCAAATATTTCACACCACTTAACTTCTACTTTAGCGGATTTTTTTTGCCATTCATGAATTCGTGATTTAAAAATTTGTTCTATATGATTGAAATAAATTATCTTCATCTAATTTTATGTTAGAATTATTTCGGTTGTTTTCCATAAGAAATTTAATACATTTTTGAACATTTTCCCAAGTAGGACAGTTTATTAGTTGGACCCAGCGAAATATTTTCAACTGGTCAAAGTGGCAACCCCATGTTTCTACGTAAGATAAAAAAGTATTATAAAATAGATCAGTACTTTTTTTGAATGAGTTTTCATTATACATAGGTATTATTGTTTTTTAAATCATTTAAAAGCGATAAAATATTTGTTGTAAGGAAGTTTAGAATAGACATTATATTTGACAACAAACTTGTGGCGGATGGAATTGTACTTATTTAGTAGATGACGTCACACATCAATATAATAATATTAATAACATTTTGTACGTTATCGTTATATCATTAGTATTTATAATCGTCGGTTTAACGTTGTCGATAATGATGTGACATTATTAGTTCTCTATTTTCAACCCGCAGCAATTATAATAATTTATTGTTAAGACAAGAATCTAAAAATAATGCTGATAAGTATAGATTAGATGTTCTATTGAATATTGTGATACAAAAATATCGTAGAATAAAAAAAAAAAAAATTATAAAATTATAAATTAACAATAAAGAGAAAAACGGGATTAATACGGGACCTACTTGAAAATACGGGACAAAATGCGTCCCGTATAACTTTTGTCGGGACAACGGGACACAAAGTGGAAAAACGGGACAATCCCGTATAATACGGGACGTATGGTCACCCTACTCTAGTATTACATATTGCTTTAACTGTTGGCTAATTATATAGATACCTCGAAAAATAAGAGTCTGAACACATTTGTGTGGTCCAATCATTTGTTCATTTTTTTTGTCGTAACAAATTCTTTTTGTTACATAATATGTTTCATCAAACGAGATTACTCTTAATTTTTTATTGTCAGTTAGAGTTTCTCCTAAATTAA